ACAGATGTGACTGGTCAGAGAAAGGGGGACACCAATGGCCAGAGTCATAATATACATCTCCCATAACTACAAAAAAAAAAAAAAAAAGTACCATTGTCCCAGGACAGTGGAGCATTTGCAGTAGTGTGTGTGTGTGTGTGTGTGTGTGTGTGTGTGTGTAGGAGGCGGTTAAAGAACAGCATTTCCTGATAAAACACGCCTTGGTTAGCATATTCTGGCTCTACCTCCTTTCTTCAAGCCACTTGTTCTGTTAACTTTCCAGGACTCCAGAGAGCTCGTCAGGAAAGTGAACTAGGGAAGCCTGCTGGGAGACTCTGGGAAAAGGTCTCATTCTGATTTTAAAACAAAAATACTTAGAAGAAAAGAACAAAACCTTTTCCTGGGGACAGCAGTAGCCATTCCTGAGGTTAGCACAGCAGCAGCTGGGTCTTGGGTGAAGGCTGGGAACAGCAGAGGCAGCGAAGGGCAGGAGCTGGGCAGCCCAGGAAAAGCCCCCGATAAGCCACTGTTGCTTCCTGGGTTTGACCCATAGTAGGGCAGTCTCTTCGGTGTGGTGACACTGGAAGGACAGGGATTTCTGAATGTCCAGTCTGTCCACAGCACATCTGATTTTCCTTCACACTTACCATCTCTTTGATGAGATCACTGGCGTGAGTTGTAACACTGGTTACATTTGCCCAAGGCCGGGACGTTGATGGTTTGCTTGGCCTGGTTTGTCTTATGGAAGCTCACATGGTGACTGACACCCGAAGTGTCTGTTGGGTGGACCCATCAGGAAGGTTTTAACCACAGAACTGTGACCCTCAATGTCAGCCTGCACTGGGTACTTCCTGTCCTTTCTGTCATCCTTACTGTGCTGGCTTTTGTACCTAGTTGTCTGTCCCAGCCTAGGACCAAAGTGGCTTTCCCGGCAGCATGCTGACCCTTAGGTGTCTGAGACTGGAGAAGACTGGAAGCGTTCACCTCAGTATGTGTGGGGTTCTCTCAAGGCTACACAGAGAAACTCTGTCTCAGAAATTTAAAAGAAAAACAATAACAACCAAAACCAAACAAACAAAATCGCGCTTCTCCAGAAATCTCCCAGCGGACTTTCCATTGAGGAAAGCTGGAAGTCAAGGTGGGAAGAAATGGGAAAGTTACAGCTGCTTTAGCCCAGCCATGCTCCTCTCTTGGGCCCAGCATACTATTGCTCCACACTGTTCTGCTATAGGCTTCTGGACCTCTGCGCTATCAGCATGTTGGCTGTCCGGTGTGTGCTGCTAAGCAGCAGCCCTGAGCCCGGCTCTGCTCAGCAGAGGCCAGAAGCGTCTCTCCCCATCAGGTGTGGCCACTGAAGCAGTCTCTAGATTCTAAACAGCTGTCTCCCAGAACATGTATCCTATCCACGTATTGCATGGAATTAGAAATAGCTGCTGGGCAGTATCTGTGACAGGGGAGCACACCGGGACTCATGGGTTGGCGTTTGCTTTAGGTGCCAGGGTCTAACTCCTAGATGACTTTGGCTGTTCTGGGCAACTGTGAGTGAAAGATGCTTCAGCGTCCACATTGTGCGCTAATCTGGACTCATGGCTCTGTGTATTTCCCATCTTTGTTTTCTCCATTACTTTGACCCCTTAGCAGTTATCATTTCTACTCTGATCTCTTTGAAGGCTAAACCTGTATTGTCTGCTTCTTTTTTCTTGTATTTGCATGATCTATACAATGGGCTTCTATAGGGCAGGGCTCTATGTAGTCTTTGGGGGAGATTAGTTGAGTGGCTGAATCAATGGAAAGATGAATGGGTGGATGGATGGATGGATGGATGGATGAACCAAGGAGAGCAGAAGAGCAGCACCTGCAGGTGCTTAGGACAGAACAGGTTAAGGAGATAGGAGTCATTAAGCTACTAGACAATAGGCCTTCGTTAGAGTAATATAACTGTTTCTAAATGTCAAATGAGCCCCAATTTTTTCATGAGATAAAAGCCTCAAGTCCTTTTGACCAAGAGCAGCAGCCTTGGATCAGAGGCACTCTGGGTAAGGGCTCCCTAGCTTAAAGCCAGGTAAAGCTGGGCTCTTTCTTTCATCCCTCTGACTGGTGCTTCTAGGATCTTGTGTGGGAATCTTGTCTCTCTATGTAACCCTAATTGGCCTGGACTCAATATGTAGACCAGGGTGGTCTCCAACTCCCAGAGATCCGCTTGCCTCTGCCTCTGGGGTGCTGGGACCAAAGGTGCGCACCACTACGCTCGGTTTAGGATTTTACTCTGTAACTCAGGCTAGTCTGGAATTTGCTCTAAAGGCCAGGTTCGGTTTAAACTTGCAGCAATTCTGCTGCTTCTGCCTCTTGGATGCTGAAATGTGTGTGTTCCACCACATCCAGCTTCAATATCTCTATCCATCCAATAATCCTTGGGTGGTTTGTAAGGATTCCATGAGCTATTGAAGCAAGAAAAGTTCAAATGATAGCACGTTTTGTTCCCTTGAAGGGTGATAGGTCCGAAGTTGAATAGAACCTCCGATCCTAGCCAATGACTGGGTCATTCCAGTATCTATGGATGCTTGTTTCCAAAGTGTAGTCTTTCCCTTTCTCCCAAACCCCTCCATATAGCTTTTCACCCTGCCTCAACATGGAAGCCTCTATGATTCAGGTTCACAAGGGTGGCTGCCCATAAGAAGCTTTTCTCCTCTGTTTTGAATGTGTGTGTGTTGGGGGGTGGGTGTTTGTACACCACAGATCATCATAGGGGTCAAAGGACAGTCTTGGGTGTCAGTCCTTTCCTTCTGCCTTGTTTGAGACAGGGTCTCTGTTATTCACCACTGCATGCACCAGGCTAGGTAACCCAGTGGCCTCTGGAAAGTCTCCTGTCTCTGCCTCCTATTTCTCCTATAAGCACACTGGAATTTCAGACACACGCTGCTGCATATGCCTTCACATGGGTTCTGGGGGACCTGAACTCCAATCCTTACAAACTGTACATCAAGGGCTTTGTGCAATGGGCCATCTCCCCAGCCCAACAGAGACTTTCTTAAACTATACACCCAGAGATTGAGGGTTTCCTGGGGTGAGTTCCAAGCATCTGCTATTTTTTATTAAGGTCTGTATGTGACTTTAGGCATCCTGGTCACATGGGATTGGGAAACTTCTGCCCCACTTCCTCCCAAGTAGCAAAAAGAGGCGGGATGCAGTCACTCCACCCTGAAGCTGCTTCGCTGTGCCCTTGTTCATTCCTGCTTCAGCAACTACCGAAGGGGGTAGGACTGTGCCCCTACCCAACTACCGAAGGGGGTAGGGTAGGACACTTTGCTAGGCACTGGGAACACACAGGAGACAAATGTGGTTTCAGGGCCTGGCTCCATTTGCTGGGAAGGTGGACAAGCCAACAGGGACCAAAGAGCGCACGCCCGAGGTGGGCAGAAAAAAATGGGAACACAAGGGTGTCTTGGAGGAGAAGACTAGGGACTTCTTGTCTCTGAGAGAGCAGACTGCTATCTTAGGTGGAGGGGGAAAGGTAGCCGGAGTCATCCAGGAGAGGAGAGGAGAGGAGAGGAGAGGAGAGAGGGTTCCAGCTGAGGAGGCAGTCTGTACAAAGGTCCAGAGCCTAGCTGCACACTGGGCTGACTTGATGGGCACTCAAGCAGCAATTGGCTCTACCCATTATAAAGAATGCCTGGGGCCCACTCAGACCATTCTGTGTCTGGTTTATCTGCTTCCTAAAAGCAGCCTGGGATACTGAACTTCAGAAGTTGGGCCTTCAATTTTTTTTTCTGACTCAGACCTCCCTGGCAAGGGAATGGGTCTTCACCAGGAAAGAAATATTCCTCTTGAGCTGTGATGAGGGTGGAATGCATGTTCACACCTATGGATTTTTAAAATTAATTAGTCACAAAATAAAATTTTAGATTAATTAATTTCGTGGTGCTGAGGGTTACATTGAAGGCTTTCTGCACGCCAGACAAGTGCTCTACCACGGAGCCACGTCCCTAGCCTGTGTTGTCGATGGAAGAAGCTACCTGTGCAGCTCAAGGAAAGGACCATGTGCGTCTTGGCCGTTGCTGTTATCCCTGTAGCCACAGAGGGTGCACCTCACATGTGAGGGACAGCAGGCCTGCTGCGTGCCAAGCATCTTGTTATGTTATGGAGTAAACAGGAACGAAGGAGGGAGAGGCGACAGGTTCCAAGAGGCAACTGTTGGAAGAGTGTCCATGCTTGTGTTATAATGGTACAGTGGTGCGTGGTTGTAATCCCAACACTCGTGAGGATCAGATTTGAGTTCAAGGTCAGCCTAGAATACTTGAAACTCTGTTCTAAAACACCAAACAAAGGCCTCTCGAACTTCTCAAAGTGACCCTGTGGGGTAAGCCATGTTGTTGTCATGCCCATCTTACAGATGAGAAAATGGAGGTGCAGATTAATGAGGTCACTCAGCCAAAGTGAGCAAAGGCATTCAGAGACACACATGGGGGCCAGCCGGGGCAGGTGGGCGCATCGTCTGTTTTTGCTACATGCACAGTATTTACAGAATATATAGCACAACACGTTCTAAAGCCACAGGACAGAATGTTCATAAAAGTTGCCGAGCAGCACTTTTAGTGGCGTCCCACTGGGAACAGGGCTGGTTGTACCCGCATGCAGGCAAACACTTTTGAATCTTTCTGGATTTGTTTTGCATTGTGTTAGGAAGATTTATGACAAGCACATTAAGACGTCCACAGAGAAGCTCCTTGGAGGGCTGGCGAGAGGGCTCAGTAGGTGAGGGTACTCGTCGCCAAGCTTGATGACCAGTTTGATCCCCCAAATCTACAGGGTGGGGAAAGAGACTCCAAAAAGTTGTCTGCTGAGCTCCACCCGTGCGTACACGCGTGTGCACACAAAATAAATAGAAAAACTCCCAGGCAACTCAATTTTCCTGTTGTCCCTGACGCTGCTTGGGCTTTACCTCTCAGGTAGCCTTGCTTGCTCTTCAGAAACAAGAGCAGGAAGAAAAGCTCCCTTGTAAAGTATCCGGTGTCCGGTGTCCTGCTCGATTAGGGAGCATGCGCACTGAAACAGGAAGGCTACAGAGAAGACCAGCATGGCCTCTGTGCGAGGGTGACATTCAAATTAATGAAGTGTTCCGTATTCTTTGGAATTCTTTTATTTATTTATTTATTTATTTATTTATTTATTTATTTATTTATTTATTTATTTATTTATTGACACAGGGTTTCTCTGTGGAGTCCTCTAGACCAGTCTGGCCTTGAACTCAGAGATCTGCCTGCCTCTGCCTACCAAATTCAGGAATTAAAGGCATATCCACCACTGTCCTGCCCATATATATATTTAAATGAACATGTACATCCAAAGAAAGAAAAATACAGAGCAAATGTTTGCTAGTGAGGAAAGCGTAGCTGATAGGTAGCTGAATGAAGAGCCGTCGGGAGGGCAGGTGTCGGGCACCTGAGGCTGCAGGCTGCAGCCAGGCCTCAGTCATCTTCCAGCTGCTTCTTTCAGGGCTCCTGTGGGACTCTATCTCTCTACTGTTCAAAGCACTTTGTACAACTCAACGCTTTCATTCCTCCTCGCCACCCAGTGAGGCAGGTGCTGTGGCGATGTTTCTCAGGCGAGATAGCAGGCCTCAGAGAGGTTAAAAAGCTCACCTAAGTCACACAGCCCCTGAGTGACGGGACTCGAACTCCAACCCAGTATGTATGAAGGAGAGCAGAGCTGGCTGACATGACAAAGAGCAAAGAACTTACCTCCTTTGCACAGCTATTTGGGGAACAGCACACACAACCTCCCCCACACACATCACTATTTTTCTTACCCCATCACCCCATGACAACGGGTAAAATGTTCCGTGTCACCCTTGGCTCCTGGTTCTGAGAACGGGGTGAACAGTGCTGGTCCTGTTCCCCGTTCCTGGTGGCCCTGCTGACAGAGGGAATTCTTCTGTGATTCTCCGGATTCCTCTGTGAGCTGTAGGAGCGTTTTGTGTGGAAAGCAGGGCTGGCAGTTGACACAGCTGTGGGTGACAGCCGCACCAGCAGCATGTTCCTTCAGTGGAGGCCTGTGGCGAAGTGGCCGACGGGTGGGGTGGCTCACAACTGTAAACCTAGCTTCCCTGAGAGTGAGGCGGGAAGATCAGTGTGCCGGTAGCGTGGGTGACAGGAAAACCCTGACTCAAAACAACAAGAAGATACCCAAGCAAATTAAAAAAAAAAAAAAAAGTCTCTGTGAGGGGTGGTGGTGCACCCCTCTAATACCAGCGTTCTCCCGGAGGAGTGGAACAGGGAAGGAGAGGCGAGGTCCCTTGACACTTGCAATGTGGTGAAGACAGGGGCAAACAGCTCATGAGTGTGTAATTTCACAGCCCAGGGAGATAATGGGACTGATGGCAGTGGACAGAGGAGAGGTGGTCTTAGATTGGGTGGTCAAGGAAGACCTTCCGAATGGAGGTCACTCGAGATACTATCCAAATTATGAGAAAAGCCCGAGAAAGGGATCCGTTGGCTGAGGAAGCAACAAATGCCTTAAAGAGCCTGAGGAAGAGGATGAGTCCTGCACAGGGTTGGGGTGGGGTGAGGTGGGGGTGAGGGTGCGGTGTTGATAAAAAGGCTGATAAGTGTGGCTGGAGAGAGGTTAGTGCCAGAGGGAAAGAAACCAGACTGCCGGACAAACTCTGATTTTGTGAGGTCTTTCTGGTCACAGCCAAGAGCCGAGGAACACCAAGCCCTCCAACCCCCACCCCTGCCCCTGGTGTTCCCACAGAAACCTGAGTGCAGCATTGTTGGCCTAACTGCTTCCCTAACACTGGTCTTTAACCCCATAACCTTCTCACATCTGTTCCAACTACTTCCCTTTTTTCCCTTTTTTCTCACTCTTAAAATTTTTGTTGTTGGTGGTTTTAAAATCTGTTTACATACAAGATCTCAGGTAGCCCAGGCTAGCCTTAAACTTGCTCTGGTGGCTGAAGCTGGTTTTGATCCTCTAATCCTCCCACCTGCCACTCACGAGACCCTAGGTGCGTACAACCAAGCCTAGCTTTTACTCATTTACAGCAGAGTCTTGCTGTGTAGCCCAAGGTGGCCTTGAACTTCAGATGCTCCGCCCTCAGCTAAAATTGCTGGCATGCTCGCCCACTGTGGCCTGATTCTTGTTTTCAAAGGTCAGTTAAGTTTGAAACAGCATGAGCAGCACACAGTAGGTCCTCCATAGGCATTTGCAGACTGCGCAAACACAGATGGGGACAGTAGGGTCGGTGTACTGCGCGACTGGCTGGGTTCATGGTGTGGGAAGGAAGCCACAGCCCCTGCCTGGGCCCTGCCCTAGGTAAACATGCCTCCCTCTGCCCAGACAGCCGCTGTTTGACAAGTGTCTGTTGTGGGACTGGCCAAGGCTGGCCACCGAATTGCCAAGGCCCCAGGATTTCCCAAGACAGGCAGCAGAGGCAGCCACACCTCAGGGAGGGTCTGGAAGGACCACTCGGTTTCTTGAACAGCTCTGGAAAAGTAAGCCCCGGAAGTAGACAGAGGGTGGCCTGTGCTGAGCAGAGCCCAAGAAACTGGAGCTGGCATCTGTGACCCCTGCAGGGCTTAGTTGTGGACACAAGAGGAACAAGGAAGTAGTCCCAGCCCCGTGCCCAGGCATCTGCTATGTGTTCCATTTCTTCACCTGTACATTAAAGGGCCGTGATTGGGTTTGTTTATTTGACACAGGGCCTCACTCTGTAGCCCAGCTGCTTTGGAACACAGTATGTCATTCAGGGTGGCCTCTAATTCGTGGCAATCCCCCCTGCCTCAGCCTCCCAAATGCTAGGCTACAGTGTCTCATGTAGCCCAAATGCTCCTGAACATGCTAAGTAGATAAGAATGAAGTGCCTCTGCTTTCTTCACCAGCAACTGTAATTGTGTGTGTGTGTGTGTGTGTGTGTGTGTGTGTGTGTGTGTGTGTGTAGTTAAATTGAAGTTAACTAAGGGAAGAGGAATACCATTAATGCTGTTTCTCCCCTCCCACCTCCCGCCTTCCCTCCCTCCCTCCTTCTCCCTCCCTCCCTCCTTTCTTCCTTCCTTCCTTCCTTCCTTCCTTCCTTCCTTCCTTCCTTCCTTCCTTCCTTCCTATTAATATTGCACCACTAGCCAGTCAGGGCATGCTAGCCCTGGGCCAAGAAACAAGTTAGTGTCAGAGCCCAGGCTAGAAAGATGGCTGTGGAGACCTGGGAGGAGCCTCTGAGGTCCCTTGTCACCTGGCCTCTACCATCCCATTATGGCACTGTAGCAAGGAAGATCCTGTTGTCAGACATGTGAAAAGCCATTGCAGAAGCATGGCGCTCCGGTCCAGAGAACCCGGCTGTTTACCCACTGCCGTGTGATGGGCGGACAGTGGGTAGAGCCTCCCCGTGAGTTTGTCCCCCAGAGCTCCTGTCAAGCTAATAGAGCTCTCTCTGCCTCCAGCTTGCCCTGGAAGGCTCTCTTCTTAGGTGTGTTTCCATGCACCTAAAACCTATCTGTAATAACTAAGTTCCTAGATATTTCACTTTGGTTTTCTTCTTTGTTTTGTCTGTTTTGTTTTGGTTTTTTAGCTTGTTTGTTTTGTTTGAGACCTGGTCCCATGTAACCCAGGGTGTCCTTGAACTCACTGTGTAGCCAAGGATGACCTTGAACTTCTGCCGATCCTTCTGCTTCCACCTTCCAAGTGCAAACATGTATGCTGTACTCACTGCTGCTAGTGCCGGTCGGCACCTGGGCATGCTCTTTCCAGGTTTTTGGTCTCGTAGCCAAATGACTAAAAAGCAGGGATCGCACAGATAGGCAGAAGCAGCTACAAACTGCATTTGTAGCATGGCGATAGTGAGGGTTTACCCAGGGAGACACTGTCATGATTGACAGCAGGACACACGCGTGAAAACACTCAACAGTTTTTGTTGCTCCAGGCTTCCTTTACGGGGTTCAAGAGAAGGCAGAGCTCATTACTAACAGGTGCTCTTAGGTGCTTCTCTGTTTTGATTTTAGATTAGGCTATATAATCTTTTCTCTGCTTTGCATGTCCCTTCCCATAATGCACCTGTTTTTAATCATTTGTCATCCATTTATGCAGCGCTGTGGGATGCGGAGTAGGGGACTCTCTGTCAGAGGGCATTGTATTGCCTTCCCGCCTTGTGCCCACAGCCACTTCAGGCCAGATCAGTTCTCCTGGCCTTCACACTCAGGAGGGCTGGCGATACACTTATACAGACACTGTCTGAATCTGAATGTTACCGGGCGTGAGCAAACATGCAGAGATGGGAGTACGAGCAGCCGCAGACAGTCAGTGACTGACGCACGGGTGTTCTGAGGTTGCCAGATGAACTTCTTAGAGAGGTGTGTGTGTGTGTGTGTGTGTGTGTGTGTGTGTGTGTGTACGTGTACATCTGAAGGAACCGCCAAGCACATTATTACAAGAGGGAATGTGTATGATTCCAAACCAGAGTTGGGGACCAAGCTAAACTATCTCCTATGCTCGCTGGCCACACTACCATTCCTGGTTTGTGTAAGGCTAAGAATGGGACCCATGGCCTCATTCTTGAGTGCTAGGCAAACCCTCTACCAACTGAGCCACAACCCCAGCCCAGTAGGTCTTTTAAAATGAAGTCACGTATGATGCCACACTGCTGTGATACCAGCAATTGAGCGGTGGAGACAGGAGAATCAGGAACTCAAGGTCATTGTTGGGTGTGTAAGGAGGCTAAGGCCAGCCTGGGCTACACAAAGCCCTGTCTCAAACAAGATTATACTACTTTGTTGTATGGTCTTAATGCACAGTAAGATTGACCATCCCCCCAAGATGCTCTTTCTCTTTCTAAGTAGAAAATGTTCAAATATGGAGAAATGGCCAGACGGTGATATTTTGTTAATAAGGATTCTATCTACCTTTCACTCTTATCAAATCCTGCTATGTGACCATGTGTTTCTTTTTGTTTGTTTGTTTAGTTATGTTTGTTTTATTATTTCATTGATATTATTACTAGTGATGTGTGTATGTGTATGTATGTGTGTGTATATGTGTTTATGTGTATATAATGTATGTGTGTTTATGTATGTATGTGTGTATATGTGTTTATGTGTGTATAATGTATGTATGTGTGTTTATGTATGTGTATGTATATGTGTCTATGTGTGTGTGCAGGCACACATGTGCCACAATACAAGTGAGGATGTTCTAGAACAATCCTCAGAAGTTGATTCTCTCCCATGGGATACAGGCTTTCCAGCACATGGCACGTGTAGTTTTTAGCTGCTGAGGTATCCTCCTGGGCCTATTTTAATCCAGGCTTATGGATCTGATGCCCTATTCTGACCTCTGTGGGCACCAAGTACACATGGCACACAGACACATATGCAGGTAAAACATTCAGACACATAAAATAATAACATCTACAGGGGCCGAAGGGATGGAGCCGTGGACAAGAGCACTGTGGCTCCTGCACAGGACCAGGGCACAGTTCCCATAACCTCTTCCAATGTCCAGGCACATGTGAAGTGTTCAAACACATGCACACAAAACACACAATATAAAACTTAAAAGCCTAAAAATACATTTATCTATCACTCTATTTATCTGTTTTGTGGCATGGAGTGAGCACATGCATGTTAAGGTACATGTGGAGGCCAGAGGACCACTTGTGGCAATTGGTTTTCTCCTTTTACTGTGTGGCTTAACTGAACTCAGGTCATCAGGCCTGGTAGCAAGCAACTTTACCTCCTGAGTTATCTTGCCTCCTTGAGGTCATTATTGATGCTTGGTTTTGTCTGTCTGTCTGTCTCTTTGAGACAGGTCTCTCTAGATGATGCAGGCTGGCCTTCAACTTGAATCACTCTTCCAAGTGCTGGTATGTAGACGTGAGCTACCATGTCCAATTTAAGAACTGTTGCTCATGCTGTGTGGTGGAGGTGTACTCTTGTAATCCCAGCACTCAGGAGGCAGAGGCTGGCAGATCTCTATGTGTTTGAGGCCAGCCGGGTCTACAGAGAGAGTTACAGGACAGCCAGGGGCTACATGGAGAAGTAGCCTGTCAAGAAAGAAAGAAAGAGAGAGAGAGAGAAAGAAAGAAAGAAAGAAAGAAAGAAAGAAAGAAAGA